ACTGAGGTGGTCGCTCCTGTGTGCCCATTCTGTCCCTTCACGGGCAGTTCCTGGCGTCCTGGACTGACAGTAGCACCTGTGGAACCACCAGGCCCGGCTCGTGTACAGGCTTGGTCTCTGCCCTCAGTGCCCACCGTACCCGACCTCCAGAAGGGCTGCCACACCAGCTGGTGAGGGAGGCCCCCAGTGACTGCCCCCTGTGCCTCCTCGTGTGTATGGGGGGGCAGGCTGCCCCAGGTAGGGCTCGTGTGGATGTAGTGCTAGGGATAGGGGACTGGCCTCTGCCCTGGGTTTACAAGCCACCCAACCTGTCCATCCTGGGCCAGCTGATGACAATGACAAGAGTTAAGATTAGTGACCCCCGGCGTCCATGGGGCCTGAGAGGCCGCTCCACCTGCCTTGTGTGGGGCCTCCCACCTACCCCCTGTGTTGGGGAACTGTCTTGGGTCACCTTGACTTTCAGACTCCGATGGCACCAAGGTGAAGGCATTGGCAGGTGGGTCCCCGCTGTGATCCAGGTGCGTGCTCCAAGTGCCCTGCTGACTGCACAGAGGCCCGGGCAGCTGAGGAGCCTGGAGAGGACCTGTGGCCTGGGCTGGGCCTGTCACCCTGTCCTATAGTGACCCTGGTGGCATGGCTGGGCTGGGTTCTGCTAACCTGCACTCTGGCCCCTGGCACGAGCCACCTGCCCTGCCCTGGGGACACCCATAACTGTCTTCTCAACACTTTATGGGGTCAAGGGCTGCGTCCAGAGTCCACCCCAAATTCAGCTTTCCCAGCAGCCAGAGAGGGCTGAGTCAGGTGTTCAAGGCCCGCTCAGCTTGGCCTCACCCACACGTCTGTCTGTCGTCTGTCCACACCCTGCAGGTGAATCCTCAGCATCGGCTTCCCGTCCACCCACCCCCCACCCTGTCTACCCTGGGTCCTTCTCCTGAGCCCTCTGGCAGTCCCCACCCAGTCCTTGTCACCTGTCACCCTTCCACACCGCCTTCCCCGTGCCACCCCTCATCTACCTCAGAGGCTCCCTGCTACCTCAAGAGAGATGGCTTCATCACCCATGTCTCCACCCCCCCCCCCAGTCTGATGTGACAGGGGACCCTGGGCTCTGTGCCATCTCTGATGTCACTGTTAAGAGTGTTCACTTGGTGTCCCTTGTGGGGAAGGATTCTCAGAACCCACCCCTACTCCCTCCTTCCTTCAGAGTCCTGCATCCTGACGGTCCCCACCCTCCCTGTGCCCCGTGACACTCGTGTCTGACCACCTCTCGGTCCTTTCCTCTTCTCTGGACAGCCTCCTCCCTCACTTTGGACTCCCCCCCTCCACAAGCCCACCCATTGCAGGCCCAGAATCCTGGGTGTGGCCTTTGGGGTCTGATCATATTCAGGAGTGTCTGCCCACTCACTCCCTGCTCCCTGGGTGGGATCGTGGGGTGTCCCACGTGGTGGGGGACCTGCAGGAAGAAAGAATCTGTGGTACTTCTTACTTGATGTCTCTCAAAATGTCTATCCTTTGGTCTGTTTGACAATGCATATTAAGAAAATCTGCCTTTGCTGCTGTGCCCATGTGGCTGTTGGTGACGTGTGTGTGTGTGTGTGTGTGTGTGTGTGTGTGTGTGTGGGGTCAGGCTGTGCCCCGTGGGGTGTCCAGGCTGGTTGGTAGCCCCAAACTGTCAACCATTTGTGCTAGCCACAGAACTCCTGTAGGGATGTAGTGTAGGATTTTAGAAATCCTAGAAAATTAATACATGGCTTTGTCGTGTAATCTTAATAATGTCATTAAAGACGTTTCTGGCCGGTTACCTAGTATCAAAGAAAACTAAAAAAACAGGTGGTATGATTGAGGTAGTTCAGCAATTGGAGGAAAGAAAATGCTTTAACTGGTTTGTACCCACATCCCTCTGCTCCTTCCTGAGCCAGACCTGGGTGATCAGGTGTCTCCCATCTTCCCCACGGACTTAACTTACTTCACCTCTTCACCTGGTCCTCTAAACCCAGGCAGGTGCAGGAGTGGGTGTTTATACTCATTGAGCCGCTGGGCTAGCTCTGCCCACCCATGTCTGTGCTGCCCCCACCGGGCTCTGCTTCCTCTCTGTATGTCAGATCTGGACCCCCGAGGTTCTTCTGACCACCGTGTTGTTGCGTCAGGCTTTTGCTGTTTTCTTGGAGGGTGCTGTTGGCGTGCCTGACCCCCGCGCTGGTCTCAGGGAACAGTATCCTTCCGGGGGAGGTAGCTGGCCTTTGGGTCCCTGGCAGAGCTGGGAGAAGCAGGTGACACTGTGGAGAATCTCCCTGATGGGTCGGGACACATGGATGTCTAGGAGGAGGTGCTCTTGGAGGCCAGTGCCCGCCAGCCTCCATGCCCAGGGTCACTTTATCTGATACCACGGGGAGAAGGTGGGCTGGGAAGATCAGGGACGTGTTGGAGGACAGAGTAGAATTGCTCTGTAGCGTTTTTTGAGGCTGTGTTACAGAAGTCGACTGTCTCATCTCTCCAGGAGCGACAGGCAGGGACTCTAAAGCACACAGGCTGCTGTGGACCTGACAGGTTGTTGTAAAGCAGAGGGCCTTCGGAAGGGACACCCCAAGTGGGAGCTCTAATGGCGTGACATTGCTAAGCCAGAGGTCACACCTCTGTGGTGCTTCAAATCCACCCGCAGCTCTGAGAGAGAAGGATGGGCTATCTCCTCTGCCATTTTCAGCTAGGAATCTGTCAAGGCAATGAGCAAGTTAATAGGGGAGGGCTGGCACTGAGGACTCAGGCCGCCTGGGCAAGACCAGGGGACGCTCTGTCCTGTCTCCCCTGGGAGGGGCATCGTGGCTGCTGGATTCCAGGCTCAGTGCTTCCAGGATGTCTGTGAGGAGCCCAGGCACGTGGCCGGCCCGAGAGCACCCAGACGGGCGTCCTGTACCAAATGAGGCATGAGGGGTTTATGGCCAGTGGCTCCCTGCTGACGTCAGTGTGCACCGAGGGCTCTGGGGACCCAGCCTGAGCTTTATGGCTGCCCAAGTTCAACCCCAATCCGCCAGCCCATCATAAACCCAGTGCCATAAACAGAAGGCAAGGATGAGTAATTGGGCTGTACTTGCTGTCCCACCTGATGTATCCGGCTGGTCCCTTCCCACTAAGCAGAGGCAGAGCTCACCTGCGCAGGTTCCAGGTCCAGGATGTGGGAGCAAGTCCCCACAGAACCCCAAGACCCTGCACCTGTCAAGGCTGGCCTCCGACTGCAGCATTCCCCTCCCGAACCTGCCGGAGAGCCTGTGTTTCCACCTGAGACTGGCTGAATCAGAATTAAAATCTTAACAAGCTCCTGTAACAAAGTATAAGCACCACTTTAGGATCATGTGGCAAGGCAGATTCTGATCCCCCGAGTCTGTAGGGGAGATGCAAGATCGCAGCAGGGGGCTGAGTCCAGAAGAAAGGGAATCAAGCTTCTGTCCTTCATAGGTGACTCAGTTTACCTCCCAGCCAGGTAGGAGGAGCATCTGAAGAACAATCCAGTCTGTTCAAGGACGTGCACCGGGGGCTGCCTGAGGCAGATGGTGGAACTTCATCTCCTGGATTTGGGGCATGTGTGGGGAAGGAGGAGAGCCTAGTCCTTAGAAAAAAAGCCATCATGCTGGGAAAGGGCAGAGGGTCGGAAAGGAAGCCCTCCAACACGTATTATTGATGCAGCCACTGTAACTGGGGCTCGAGCCTATCAGAGATGAGGAGGAGGATGCAGGCTAAGGCAGGGTCCAGAGCTGCTGCTCTAAGGTCGCTATGAGTTGTGTCAGCATCCCCTCAACAGCACCTGACACTAACCACACCTGTGAGAAACTTCTGGTTGTCAGAGTCAGCCCCTCGTATTTCTTTTACAGGAGCTCTGAAGAACTGACACTTCGTGTGTGTGTGTGTGTGTGTGATTTGAGTGAGTCTTTACAGCCCACAGAGTGTGTGTGTGTGTGTGTTTGATTTGAGTGAAACTTTACATACAGCCCGCAGTGCGTGTCTGTGTATGAGATTTGAGTGAAACTTTCCAGCCCACATTGGTTTTCCAGTCATACACATTTTGTTTCATGGTATTTGACAACGTCCCTAATGTAACTCCAGCCACTCGTCTGTCGGTCTGCTGTATGGTGGTGGCTTATGTTTGGCTGTGGTGCTGGCAGCTGTGCCACTGGGGTTTCAAACACCAGCAGGCTAGTCCACAGTGGACCAGCTTCAGAGGATCCTCGACATTAGACAGGCTAAGAAGCAGGATTTGCCAGTCTCTTCTGAAACAAGAAGTCCTTGGAAAAGCTTTTAAATACCAGCGGGACATTGTTCGCTGGTGCTGGAAGGTGAGCATCTCAGGTTGGAAGAAAGCAATGAACTTGATGGAGACTGAGGGCAGGACGGGGTTTTGTATGAGTTGTAGTCTACTGGACAACACCTAACAACATTGTAGCTGCACTTCCCACTTGTCCCTGTGAGTCTTTGCTAACCCTTCTTTCCCATCTCTTCCCGCCCTCTGATCTTTCTCCCCGGACACAGGCTGTTCTGATCTTGTGGGGGTGATCGCCACAGCAGTGAGTCCCTGATGGTACTGTC